CTGTGGCTCCAGGCTTTGCTTTCCCTTCCATAGTTTCTCTTCCCAAAGCCAGAGTTCAGGGAAGCAGGTGGCAGCTGGCCTTCCCTGGGAATGCCCAGTAAGCGCTGGAGAGGTGTCAGGAGGAATTGATTTGCTTGGATTTGTTCTACAGCCTCCAAGGCAGAGCAGAGGTGGGGCTGAATAGCTCCTCCCTGTATTAGGTTTGAATTCTGTCCAATGGGGCCCATGCTTTGCAGTTTGCCTGAACCCAGGCCAGAGTTTCGGAGAGAATGAAGGATAATGGGTGTGATCACCCTACTCTGTCTCCTCCTAAGGGCCTAGCCGACTTATTCCGGGTGGAAGGGTTCCACTGCATTTTCTGGTAGGTCTCCTCCCACAATCCCAACAGGCCAACAGTTCCTCCGCTTTGTCCCCGGTTACCAGAAAGTGGCCCGAGGCAGGCAGATGTCCTCTCCCCTCTTCTATTATTTTCTCCTGCCTCACTCCAACCCTCTAGAGCTGGACTTCCTTGGCCGTCCATTTTCCGTGGGCTGCCTGGTCTTTGCCAGAAAACTCCTTTTACTTACCTCCCTGCCAACCACCAGGGGCCATCTGTTCCCACCCAGAAAAGAGCAGATAGGACTGGGGTTACACCCCCCTCTCCTCCGTCTAGCCACAGCTACTATAAAAAAGAGGGAGAAGGGAGGAGGGGCCAGCCCAGACCTAGAAGGCGGCACAGGGAGGGAGAGGGAGAAAGAAAACAAAAGAGAGAGGGCACAGCTTTTGGGAGAAGAGATCACAAAGAATGGGTAGAAATAAAGGCGATTGTGCCATAGAGTAGGTTGGAGATCTCTGCATGGCAAACCTCCTTTCCCTGGCGGACTCACCGACGTGGCAATGGCCATGGCTCTGGCCTCCAGCGTTGCCTGCTTCAGACCAGACTCAGTTTCACTGACTTCAACGATGGCTGCCCCTCACCATGGTTCCCGGCCTCCAAGCCAGAAGGTCACCCCCAAGTTGTGTCGCTTGAGGAGTTGCCTCCTCCAAAGTTGGAGGAAGAGAAAGAAAACCCACAAAACTTTCCAAAAGGGAGGCAGCTTGGCCAGGCAGGAGGAGGAATGGGGCGGGCCTGGGCGTCGCTACGGGACCTCATCCAAGGGGCGCGCTCTAAACTGTCCCCAGGGTCTCTCGGGGGGGGGGCACTAGGCCCCCACGGCTGTGGCCTTAGGCTGCAGACGCCTCTTGGACACACATGGGTCCAAAGCTCCCGTCCCAGGCCGGCGAGGCAAGGAGGCAGGAGCTGCTGCTGCTTTCGACGCCTCTCAAGGCAGATCAGGCTAGCCCCGAGGGCTGGGAGAAGCTGCCCGAGTGGTTGGGCTGGACGAACGACTCCAGGGGCCAACCCTCCCCCAGCGGCAGAGCGGTGCTCCCAGGACTGTGGTCGCGGCTGCCGGGGCCCTGCGGAGGGACCCGCGGGGAAGGAGGAGCGAGAACTGAACTGCGAGGCTCCCAATGGCTCAAGTCAGAGCAAAGGCAGGCCGCAGTCGAAGGCCTGAGAGCGCGTGGCGGTGCAGCCGGGCTTTCTGCCCAGGCCCGCGCCGAGGCGGGCTCTCTCGGCCACACTCGTTCTTAGCGCGGCCGGGGCTTTTGAGGCAGCCACCAGCCACTTCTGGGTCTCGGAGCCAAAGGGCGCGCGCCACCCTTTGCCCCGGGACACCCAGTCCCCTCTCACAGTCCCTGGATCCGGCCCTTGGCGTCCCCCTACCCCCAAAGCTTAGAGACGCTCCTGGTATCTGGGAAGCTAAGAAAAAGACCACAGAGCCAAGGGAGCAGTGAAGGGGAGGAGCGGCCCTGTGGGCTCGCCCGGGGTCGGGGTGCGCACACTCAGGGCTAGAAGAGGTCCCGGGTCGCGCGTGGCCCCGCTCAGCCCTCCCACACCGCGCCCCTTCCCTCCGTGCCCGGCCTCCCGCTCCCCCTCCGCAAGCTCGCTCTCTTCCCCGCGGGCCCACCCCTCCCGCGAGGGGCTCAGTCCAGGGGATTAAGAGAAGGGGGAGGGGAAGCTGCGGAGAAGGGGGACGATCCCTTCCGAGGCGGTGTTGAGTTTCAGCTCCCGACCCTCGGGCCAAACGGCACGCCCCAGCCCGGCCCCTCTTGCCCGCACCTTCTTCCTGGGGACCGCGAGGCCGACCGGCGGGTGGTCTGCTGTGCGCGCTCGGGGGAGCTCGGCTCTGCCCGCCACGCCCCCGCTCTCCCCCACGCCAGCCCCACGCCTCTCCCTGCCTCCCTTTCATTAGCCCCACATCTGTCCGTCCCGAGGGAGGGAACGGGCTTGCTTCCGGCGCGCTGGGGTCCAGGCGGTTTCCCCTAGCTGACTTTGCAGGGGGTGGGGGGTGGGGTGGCGGGGGGGGGGGGTGGGCGAGCCGGGGAGGTCCAGCCGGGCCCAGGCTTGGAGTCTGGTGTGTTGGACAAAGATCCTGGCCCTTGAGAGAGGAGAGAGGACGTGAAGCCTGAGAGTCTGGCCCCAGATCGCAGGGTGTCAGGTTGCGCCGCCCTTTAGCCTCCTTTGCCAGTCTGGGCCTGTTTCTCTTCTTCAGGTTGACTCTTGCAGTTACTGGAGCAGTTGGGGTGGAGACCGTGGGCAGAAGAGGGCAGAACTCTTTCAGAGGGCCTGGAATCGGGAGTTTCAGCTCTCTGCCTCCTAAAATCCTCCTACATGCCTTCCTCCAGTCACCCCTCTTCGCTGGCCCTTAACTTTGAGAAGATACACAGCAGAACTTCTTAGAGGATTGAGAGAGTTGTCTTCTTCTATTGCGGGTGGGGTGTTCCTGGTATTTGAAAAGCAGGCTGCTAAACAGGTGGAAGGCTGCAGTGTATTCCCAGTGTCTACGTTTAACAAATGAACGCTTAAAGCACAAAATAGCGAGTTTAGTCGCAACCTCTTTAGGAAAGAACATCCGAACTCCTATTTAAGGACCTTTGTGAACTGGTGGCTTTGAGACCACTCTTTGTCACGTTGCAGTGTATCACAGCCTTACCCACAGGCATTTCCCAGGACCACCCGTGGGAAGAGTGTTTGCCCCAGACCTTCCCCACCTTACTCCCTGGAAGCCTCTGCAGAGGGGAGAGGCGGCACTGAGATGACTTGGTGACAGTTTCTGGAGGAACACAGGATGAATGGTGCTGGCTCTGGACTCGGCTGGAGTGCAGAACGCATCCACTGGCTGGACACCTTGAACATACTCTGAGTCCGTTAGAACCGAAAAGGAACCTTAAAGTGTCTCGGTAGGTCTGAAGTGAGAGTTGTCCTATCCCAGTTGCAGTTTGGCTGGAGGTGCTCACTATCCTCCAGACTCCAGTTCTGGGGGAGATGATCTGGTTCGGCTGCCTTGGCACTGCTGGGGAGTGACGCGGTATGACCCCTACCCAGGGTCACCAGTACAAAACAAAGATGGGTAGGGCACTTTGGTCCCCAGACATAAGTGCTCTGATGGGCACAGAGAAATAGATGCAGGCCAGAAGCTAAGTAGAAAGGATGCCAATGGTCCAGGCAAGGTGATAATCTGAGCAATGGGCGGGGCTCTCAGTGCCTCAGAAACAATACAGGTAAGGGGCAACTTCTGTATTGGGAGTAAATCCTGGCTCTTTAGCTATGTTACTTTGGAGTTTTCATTCCCCCTTGCTTTGGTGAGAAGAACACAGATGGAAAGTGCCTGGCACATTGCTTTTCTTCAAAGGGTTCCTCCTCCCCCTGACAGGGTTTTCATGAAAACGGGATGTTCTTAGTTGAGGGAGTGGGAGCCTTTCCCAGATCCATATACCCTTTCTTCTGCCCTCTCCTTTAGTGTTGAAGGTACAGAGTTACTCATACTTGAAAGAGTTCTGGCTTCAGGATACACATGGAGGGGAAATCTCAGGGGCTGGTACCTTGCGGAGAGCAGCCTCCTCTCGTCTTATGCCACGGTTTGCCCTGGCTCCGTCTTTTAAAGAGTAGTAAGGAAGGAACTCTTTTCTGTCTTCCCAGGCCTCCATCTTCTCTCCTTCTCTTCCCTCCTCCCAGCAGGGTCCTTTTCCCACCCATATGTTCCACCTCCTTCTCACCCCACTCTACCCATCACCTCTAGTTTTCCATTCCCTTTGTCCTATGTGCTTGTGAAATGTGTCAAACCCATACCCACCTCTAGGAGTTTGATAAGGCTATCCTTCCTCCAGACCCTTCCTGTCATCATGCCAAAAACGTGTTCCCACTTAGAGTGGCCTTCCCACCCCCTCCTGTCTCCACAGCAACTCTGTGCCACCCCCCCCCCGTGCCACAACACCGTTTCCTTTTCTTCACTGCACTCTATTATAGTCCGAATGTAGCTTTTTCGTTGTCCTTCATCTGTCTCCTAAACTGTGAGCCTCAGGAGGAAGAGGTGCTGTCTGTCTTGTTCTCCTCTTCATCTCTTAACGCTTAGAATGTCAGTGCCTGGTGTGTAGTGGGCGCTTAATAAATATTTGGCAAGTGGATGGATGGACACAGAGGCTATGAATATAGGGCAGAATTGGGTTCTCCTTGGAAAGGTGCCTCTTCTGGGTCCTTCCAGTCTTCATCTGCTAGCTCCGTGTGTTTCCCAGATTAAACTGGGTTCTCCTTGAAGTTAGTCTCCTGAGCTTAACTGTTCTGTAGTTAACAACTGTATTTAAAAAAAAAAAAAACAATTAGCGTGCTGGAGAGATGGCTCAGTGATCAAGAGCACATACTGCTCTTCCTGAGGACCTGAGTTCAATTCCCAGTACCTATATCAGCTGTAACCTGCAGCTCCAGGGGGATCTCATACCTCTGACTTCTGTGGGCACCTCCATTCATGTGCATATCCCCCATCCCTCATACTAATAATTAAAATAATAAAAATAAATCTCTAAAAATGACTAGCATCGAGGGTCGTTATTACCTACAAATCAGAATGTGGGAACACCATTCCAGAAGTCTCCGTCTTTGCCATTGCTAGGTCCCTGGGAGAGTGTGATGGGGATGCCCCACTGCCAAGAGCACCACCTACTTGCCAGGAGGCAGATGAGGATCTCAATATCCTAGTACCTCCCGTCCTAGCTTCTTAGAAGGTGAGTGAAAAGGAGCTGAGTCCCGTGGCTGCTGCACTGTCTTAGGACCTTAGGTCCGGCCTACTAATCTTGGTATCTCTAAGGTCACTCACATCAATGCCACCTTTCCCCCCAGGGATGCATACAAAATACCATGTACACTCTCACCGATGAGGAAGGACGTGCAGAAGGAGCATCCGAGGTCATGAACAGACTAAAATTTCAAGGCAGCAGGTAGGGACATGAGTACCCTTTTAATAAGCTTTAGAGTAGTTGTATTCGAACTCACTGCAAGCCTCGAGAGCTTTCTCAAGCAAAGGATAAAAGATGAAGCTCATCACGTTCTCCCCGCCCTTTCCTGGTAGGTGCTTACCTCTTTTCCCAGGGGTACAGGGATAGAAACTCCAGCCCTGTTTGGCTACCAGGTCAGGCCCAGGCAAGTAGGGACACGTTGGGAGGGTACTCCTTATGTCAGATGTTGGGCCAACCTTTCTTTGCTCCCGCCTCCAGGATTCTCCCCAGTGCCACCCCCACACCCCCAAGGATTCCCTGGAAGCTGAAATGACTCAGGGATTCCAAAACTAGTCACCCCAGGAGGAAACCCTCTGGAAAATGTTTCTCATGGCAGGGAGTCACCCTAAAGAGTCCCACAAAGCTACTAATGAGATAAGGACAGAGGCTGAGCAAGCAGGGTGGGGTGGGGGCCTGTGGCTCAGAGAATAGGTTCATGGGTCAGCTTGGTCATCACCTATGGGGAAAGCCAACCCCGGGGAAGACCGTGTACTTAGAGGGATATCCCATCTGCCTTCCAGAGCTTTCCTCTGGCCTGAGCTACAGAGCCAGAGAGAGACCCCAAATGCCTCTTGTGAAGAACAATGTCCCAGTCACCCAGGCCAGTTCCATTCTGCAGTGTCAGCAGCTGAGACAAGTTAGGGATCATTTTTAGTGCCTGAGAGCGCCCCCTTGTGCGCTGGTCAAGCTCTGCTCCCTAGGGTGCAGCTGGAGGAGACCTGTAGGAATCCTGCTCTCTGAAACAGCACTGCTAGCTAAAGGACCCTACTCTGGGCTTAGAGTTGCTAGGGAACACCACAAGCCACCTGAGGCCATGTGCCAGACAAAAGGCTGGGGAACAGGAAGCTGGAACAATGGATCCCAGCCACCAGGGCTGAATGCCAAAGCGGGCAGGAATGCCCTGTGGTCTTGGGCAGGTGCAAATAAAACACGTCCAAAGCAAGCTAACAGGTACACATTCACCTCCATTCATTGCCAGCTGAGGAGGGGCTCATGCCAAATGTTATGGTTTCCTGTAACACCAGGAGCTTAGGTTCAGAGTTATTGAGGGCTGGAACTGAAAAGCAGCTCAGTCTTTCTATGTGCATAACCTTGGGTAGATTATTAAATTCTGTTGGGTCTCACTTTCTCCATCTGTAATAGGAGGATTATGGTTTTTCTTGCCATAGTTTTAGTATCAGGACATAATAAGATGATGTGCTCTTACTATTGGGGCTCAGTACCATCCATGTCGGGCACACTCAAATGTGTAGGAGCAAGACAAGGCCAGCAGCGTACACAGGGAGACAGCGTCCGGGACCCCTGGTGCAAGGGTGGGCATGGGCATCAGCTGAAGATATTCCTGGTCGTATTGTTCCTCCTAAGTGTTCTAACCCTGGCCACCAGTGGTTTCTCCTCAGTGCCGTCCACTGTTTCAGGGCCCTAAGAGTCGCCAAAGCTGTTTCTTCCAACTCTTGAGAGTGCTCTCTGTTGTCATGACAGCTCTCCTTTGGGGCTGTTTTGTCCTACGGCATCTGAAAGAGTGGTTCTTTATGGTACACAATATTCCTGGTTCCCTTTGTTTACTTTCTGATCCCTTGGTTACTTCAGGAGTATTTTCTGAGGGAAAGCACATGCAAATCAGTACACATTATTCTAGAGACAATGTGTATGAGTGTATTGGGGTGGGGCATAGATCCCTGGGCAAACAGAGAAAGGCCTGCATGAAGAGTGATGGCCGGTGTCTGCACAGTCCTCCCCCGCAGGCTGGACTGTGACCGACCTGTATCTTGGGAATCTGTCTTTCTGGAGTTTGCACACCCTCGCCTATCCAATAAGGCCCATGAGAATGCATAGGCTGAGTAGGTTGGCTCCCTTATGGCCCGAGAGTGACAGCTGTCCTTGCTGTGTGTTCCTGGGGCTCTGTGAACAGGGGTGAGACCTCCCGCTAGGTCTTAGGTAACACGGTGTTCTTTTCTCCACGATCCGCTTTCTCATTTGTGCAGTGTGGACATTCACCCACAACGTCTTCCTGCCATCTTGCCCACCCAACCAGAAAACTTCTGCATATGCTTCTGGTAGCACTGTCTGGTGACGGCTGCATCCTTATCCCAGGAAGAGGTCAGGGAAGGTCTAGGGACAGGGTGGCAAACTGAGAGGGCAAAAGGAAACTGGGGACAGTAGTGGACACTGACAGAGAACTCATGCTGACGGATGATGGTGCTCAAAGAGTTGGGGTCCTAAAAATGAGGAGGGGTCAGAGGACAGAGTGGATGAAAGTCAAAAAAGATAAGGAAGAGGGAAGTGTTCATTTAGACAGGTGATGGGGACAGCTGGTGAGAAGAGGGAGACAGTTGGAGGTCAGGTCCTAGGCAGGAGTAAGCAGCAGAAGTCTTGAAAGTGGTGCCCCTGGAAGGAAGACCAGACGACATTCTTTAATTTGAGGTAATAAACCAACCAGGGAAATTCCCATGATGCCAGTTCACAGAGACAGAGACAGAGTTGCAGATGCTCTTACTACGACCCCCCGCCCGGAAAGTGGTAAGGAACAGTTTACCCAATGGGCTGCCAGGCTGATAATGACAGCTGTTACAACTTCCATGAGGGTAACATTTAAACACCTTTTGGCAACACTAACAGGTCTTATGTTATTGTTGGGTGGTTTTTCCTTTTTCCTTTTTTTTTTCTTTTTGGTTTTCTTTTTTTTTTTTTAATCTCAGGTCACTCCCTCCAAAAGATAGTGGAAATAAATTTGAATAAACAAAACAGGTTTGCTGAAAATAAAACCAGGGCACCTCCACTGCTCCAGTCAGCCTGCTTCCAGAAGGCCTGCCAGGCGGGATAGTACCTGTGGCTGAGTGAGTGAGCCGTGTCCAGCATGTACCAGGTGAGTGGCCCCGGTGTCTGCGGCAGATTGGCTGAGAGGGAAAGGAGCAGGGATGGTACTGAGTGTGCAGGCAGGCTGAGCGGCCAGGTTTCTGGTCTCAGGGAACTGCCAGGGGAGGCTCATGTGTGACGGGGACCTGAGAGTAACTTCCTTACTGGCCTTTGCTTCTAGGTTGCTGCTTTCTTGGCTGTGATCGTGGGAACCCACACGGCCAGTTTGCACACCCAGAGTGACTGCAGTCACTGGCCCAGCTGCTGCCCCAGCAAAGAACAAGACTCCACTCCGGAGTTGCTGACGTGGAACACTGCCTCATCTCTCCGAGAGCTTAAACAGCGCACACAATCCTGCAGGGCCAGCAGTGATGGGCCCCTCAACACCAGGGCCATCTCTCCTTGGAGCTATGAGTGAGTCTACTGTTTCCCTCCCTGGTATATTCATGTGTCCTCCAGGGAATTTGACCTATCAGCCTCTTTTAAATGTAAGGACCAGAGAAGTTGGGAGTTACACAGGTCTGAATTTGAGTCTCAGCTCTGTTCTCATTGCATTATGTTGGGTGATGTTTCCAAGTTCAGGCTGGCTTCCTTCCTTCTTCTCCCTAGATTACATTCTAGAAGCTAGTATATAGATCAAACGAAACAATGTACGTAAAACCCATATTTGTGTTGATTCTGTTTCTTGTCTGGTCTCTCCCATAACTCCTATTCTTCTAACTAAAGTGTTAATAAGTGTCAAGCTGTCATATGTGATGCAGACACAAAGCACCACTGTGTCAAATGCTGTCACTCAGCTCCTGTGTGGCAGGTGGGTGGCTAGATCTCAGGCTTATTATCTCTAATCAAAATCATGGTTCTCTTGGTCTTCTACATAGTGTGTCACGTAAATATGATAATTCTCTACTTGTGCCATGATATGAAATTGGGGCAGAGAAACAAAGTATTGTAAATTAGGGTTTTAGGGGTCCTAAGCCTATTTCTTTCTTTCTTTCTTTCTTTTCTTTTTTTTTTTTTTTGAGACAGGGTTTCTCTGTAGCTTTGGGGCCTGTCCTGGAACTAGCTCTTGTAGACCAGGCTGGCCTCGAACTCACAGAGATCTGCCTGCCTCTGCCTCCCAAGTGCTGGGATTAAAGGCCTGCGCCACCACCGCCTGGCTTCCTAAGCCTATTTCTGCGGGTCTATTTCTTCCCAGGGTTCTGTGCTCTCATTCCCCACGTGTCTCTGTTGCCTAGCCTGTCCTTTGAGGGTCATAGAGACATTCCCTGGTATAGGGAGGGAGTGGGTCAGCTCTGATATTATGTCTAAGATACCAGTTCATCATACTTTGGAGTAGTCTCAGAGGCTGCCTGGAAGATGTGTCTATGGGGGTGGGCCCAGCTTACCATCCTCTTCTCTGAGAAGCAGTGAGCTCTGATTCCCTCTTAGCAGACCATTTCCAACCTAAGCTCTATACACTTGTCTCACAAGCTGCTACGCAGCAAAAAAGTGATGGTATCAAGTGAGCTTGAGAAAGTCAGCACAGACTTTAGAGTGGTCTCCACGCATTAACCTCAGTAAGAAATCTACAAGAATAGACCATCAGTTGTCCCCGAGCTTTGATTGCAAAAGCGTTAAAAACAAATAGCAAGAAAACCCCCAGGGTGTTTACTATGGACCCTGCTTTGGGAAGCATTTGCAGTAGCTGGACCCCAGTCTCGCCAGGGCTTGTATGGGAAATGATTCTACCAGATTGGGGCTTCCTGTTAGGCTGCTGGACACAATACTTTTTATATCTTCTTTTTAGTAGTTGGTTTCTTTTATTTTGTTTTGGTCTGTTTTTGTTTTTTTGTTGCCACAAATCCTTTCTGAATAGGTAAAAAAAATTCTTGCCCATGTCCAAAATGGGCTTGTAATATCTGCTTGGACAATATCTGGAAGGGTGGACTTGAAGCTGCTCTCCCTGGGGAGTAAGACCGGTGCTTTGGAAATGGCCAGTGTTGGTTATATATCCGTTTATGCTTGGCTGTCAGGCTGTTGGGGGGTTTTGTTTGTTTGTTTGTTTTGTGACACAGGGTCTCATTCAGTAGCCCTGATGGCCTGGAGCTCGCTATATGACACATGCTAGCCTCAAACTCATGGCACTCTTTGCTCCACCTCTCAAGTGCCAGGATTATAGGCATGTGCCACCATACTGGTCACATACCAGTTTTTAGTTTTGTAATAATTATAATTTTAAAACCCCACAAAAACATACAATACCTTACTGAGAAGCCTCGTGCCTATCAGAGAGATGCAGAGCTGGTCTGGCAGAGGCTGGCAGGAGACTATTCATCTTCCTCTGCCTCTGAAAGAAGCTACTATGGCTAGGGCCTGGCATTCAGTGCCACTGGGAAAGCCACTCTTTAGTCCCCTACCTATACTATATTTGGAGAGAATAAATCTCAGAGAGGAGGGGGTGCATTTAAAGTGATACAGTATCAGATGCCAGACCAGATTTAAAAAGCCGAGTCCACAGCCACACCTTTTTCTCCTTCCAACTTCTCCAGCCCACCTGTCCCTCCGGAACTCATCAGCTCTCTTCCCACAGGTTGGACAGGGACTTGAACCGGGTGCCCCAGGACCTGTACCACGCGCGCTGCCTGTGTCCACACTGTGTCAGCCTGCAGACAGGCTCCCACATGGACCAAAAGGGCAACTCAGTACCAATCTACCACAACCAGACGGTCTTCTACCGGCGGCCATGCCACGGACAGCAAGGTTGCCATCATGGCTACTGTCTGGAGCGTAAGCTCTACCGCGTCTCCTTAGCTTGTGTGTGTGTGCGGCCCCTTGTAAGCTCTTAGTCACGCTTGCCACCTACCTGAGGCTGATGTCTTGCCGCAGCGGGCCAGGGTACCTGAGCACTCAAGCCCTCCAGAGCTCTACTGAAGCACCAGGGTCCTGGGACAAGATGGAGAACTTGGGGAGAAACCCCCTACTTTTGCACTTTCAGAAAGAACTTTTGGGAAGGAGCAGCTTAGTTTCCGTTTGTGGCTGCTGGAAGATGCTGTCATGGCCTTCCCTCTCAGAAGACATCTCCAAGGGGCCTGCTGACCCCGGAAGCCACACTACTGACTCCTCCTTCCCCCTGACTTTCCCTGCCCAGCACAGGCACTTTCTCCACATTTCCCCCTTTGCCCTTCATTTTGTTTGCTTGTGAATACTGACTCTGTAGGCAGCCAGGTGTAACTACTTTGACATGGATGATTCTGAGGAGAAAACTTATTAAATGTGAAGAGATTTATCCAAATAAATATCCATATTTCAAAATGGTCTAATTTGTCTTTGGCATCCATGGCCCCCAACTGGATCCCTTTTCCTTTTCTAGTACTTTCTCCGCTCCGTCACTGGCCCTGGTGTCCATTGCAAACACCCATCCCCTCACTGGTCCATCCCTGAACGTAAGAGTGGGGGTCAGACAGCTCAACATGGGGGAGAGACAGAAGCCCATTGAGGCACTGCAGTAGGCACACAGCGCCCCCTTGTCTCCCCAACAATTTGCCTTTGTCCTCCTGTCCTGGCTGTTGCAGCTTGGTCCAGCAGGGTAGTGCCTGGGCTGGGCTCCAGTTCCCACCTCCCTTAAAGGAAAAGAGAGAAAGGCCCAGCCAAGGAAGTGGGTTAAAGTTATGGGAGAGGGCATGAATGTCTTCAGGCTTTGGGTATCGGGGAACTCCTTGCTCTGCCTCTGTCTCTCTCTCGCCCCCGACCCCCGCCCTAACCCCTTTGGTTTCTTTCCCATCTCTTCCTCTCCCCTCTCTTTCTCCAACTTAGATTAGGCTGGAGGAAGAGGAGGGTTAACCTCCTCTCCCTCCCTCCTCCCCATGCCTCCTAGGGGCCCTACAGGCCAGAGCAGAGGCACTCTGGGCAGCTAGCTGATTGAAGCCCATCTGGCCGAGCCTCCCCTGGGGACTGCCTTCTCAGAGAGTCCAGCAGCAGGGCCCAGCGTCACTTTCAGGCTCTTGAAGCACCATCTTCCTCCTGTCTGCTCTCCTAATCAGATTTCTGTTCCTTTTCCGGGCTGTTGGGAGTCTGGTGAGGGGGAGTCTGTGCCCTGTGAGCCATGTTCAATGCTTGGGATTGCCGGGAGCGGCCCCCAGAGGAAGGAGCAGCTACAGGGCTCCAGGGCTTCGGTGTGGACAAGAACTTCCTGTCTTCCCTCAAAGGCATCCTGCTGGAAACTGAGCTGGTAACAGCCACCTCCCCAACCTGGTGCCTCCATCTCTCCCATCCCAATCCCTGCCGCAGACCTGTGCTGGCCTCCTGTGCTCACCCCTTCACAGCCCCTTCCAGCCCCAGGCACACCTTCTTCAACTCTGGTCTTTCTGACGTCTCTCTGGAGACAGTTACAACGCGTACCATTTGCTGCAGGACTGAAGTTAGATGGAAAGATGACTTTCCAGGATACTGAGGGAGTGAGACGTGGGTGCGGGGGTGGGGAGAGGATATCCAGGAAGGAGGCTCACTGTCTCCCGCCAGCTTCTAGGAGGGTTACTTCTTGATGTGTCCAAAAGGGTAGAGTTCCTGCAGCCACGCTTTGTCTGTCAGCTGTGGCTCATGAGCGTCTCCTCTCGGGCTTTCCCTGGTTGCTGAGCAAGATCACGGTGCTGATACGGAGCCTCTTTCCTGTCTGTCTTCTGGCTGCTGTCATCTGCGTTGTCTGCTGCAGCCTGGAGTAGGGAAAGTTTTTTGGGCAGAGGTTCTGTAGCTGGCTGTGCTCTGGGTCCTGTGCTCTGGGGACTCCCCTGGGGATATGCAGATTGGCCAAACAACTAGAGTTGCTGGGATTCCTGGGATGACAGGATTGGAGGATGGAGATGTCCTTGATGATCCCTGACACCAGGGATCTTCATTGAGAATGCTTCCCTCTTAGTGAGGCTGGGTATCAAGAGAAAAGGGGGCTCCGGGTGACTGTGGCCGGATCTGTGCCTGGGTCTCCTCAGAAAGCACACCATACTTGGTCCCGCAGGCCCTGACCTTTGTCATCTTCGTTTGCTTCACGGCCTCCATCTCTGCCTACATGGCGGCAGCACTGCTAGAGTTCTTCATCACGCTCGCCTTCCTCTTCCTCTACGCCACCCAGTACTACCAGCGCTTCGATAGACTTAACTGGCCTTGTCTGGTGAGGAACACTGCCTCTCCCATCCCGTCCTGGTCTCTTGCTTCTCTCCGGTTGCCCAGTTTTCCTGTTGTCTCACGGCTCCCCTCCATCCCCACAGTCAAGCTGTGTGTTGACTCACGTGGTGGCCTATGTTCAACAGTGAGCTTTGGCCCATCAGAGTGCCCCTGCCAAGGAGACATATAGACTGTAGGCCAAGGCCTGCTCAGTCCTGCTCCATGTGGCTGTGCTCACTGCTGTCCCCTCTGCCTCCTGCTGATCTAGATTAATCTGCTCCCATCCTCTGTGTAGCGCTGTGAGCTCACTCCCTTGAAAGTCTTTCACCTGTGTCCAGAGGTATCCCCGGGCAGCAATTAATTCTCTGAGGATCAGACTGGAAAAGCTCACTAGCTTGGAAAACCTGCTGGGAATGACCCCTTCCCCGCATTGCCTCTGGTTCCCCAGGACTTCCTCCGCTGCGTCAGCGCCATCATCATCTTCCTGGTGGTCTCCTTTGCTGCTGTGACCTCGAGGGAGGGGGCTGCCATTGCTGCTTTTGTGAGTTCATCCCTGCCGTGATCTGCATGACTTGTGGTTGGGGTATTGGCACACTTCTGGTGTCCAAACCAAAGCCTGAATCTGCTCATACCTCATCCCTTTACTTCTTCCTGACCCCTCTCTCCTAGTCTGACAACCTCCGCTGAGACACCCCCATTCTTTTTTTCCCCCACAGGTTTTTGGCATAATCTTGGTTTCTGTCTTTGCCTATGATGCATTCAAGATCTACCGAACTGAGCTGATGCCTAGGACAACCGAGGGTGAGTGTCTATGCCCGGCAAGAGGAGATGCTGCTATCTCTGCCCCAGATACTGTAGTCATACATGGCTTCATCTCCACAGGGGACCAGCAGTGATTCCAGGGTCACCTGGCTCGCACGACCAGACACAGGAACCACGGAGCCCAGATTTGTCATCTTTGGATTCACTGAACCTCCCAAGTGCCCATCATCTACTCTATGTCTATAGAGACGTGTGCCTGAGAAGTCCCAGGGGATCTGTGAAAAGTGGCAGAGTTGTGGGGGGCTGGGCAGGCTGCTGCGCCTCCAAGTCATTCCCAAATTAAAATATTCAAATCCTAATGGTGGGTCTTCTTCTTCCTTGAAAATCATACTGAGACCGCTGGGCGGTGGTGGCGCACGCCTTTAATCCCAGCACTCGGGAGGCAGGGGCAGGCAGATCTCTGTGAGTTCGAGACCAGCCTGGTCTACCAGAGCTAGTTCCAGGACAGGTTCCAAAGCTACAGAGAAACCCTGTCTCAAAAAAAAAAAAAAGAAAAAGAAAAAGAAAAGAAAAGAAAATCATACTGAGTAAGGAAGCCAAAGAGTTCATCGTGATCCACAGGGAAGAGTGATCCAGAGAGCCAAGATCCTGGGTCGAGGGAACGAGGGTTAGATTGAAGAAACTGAAGACATATGTCAAAGACGAAACTTCATACCTAAGCCTGACACACCAGAGGAAGGCGCCACATTGCTGTGTACTGGGCTGCTTTCCTGATGCTGACAGCCCAGCACACCTGTCAGCCGTGGGCTAAGGTCCTTCTCTGGGGTTTGTGCAGAGCTCCCCCTTGTGGCATGGTGAGGGTCAGACTGGCAGACCATAGGGAAGAGGACCGCCAAATGTCTTAGGAGAAATTCCTAAAATACCAGCACTGAAGGAAAAACTCCTTGATATGAACTGGTCACACTCCCTCATTCTATCTAGGAGAAAAGGGGGGCTTAGTTAGTGGGAGGTGACCTCCATTTGTAGCAGAGCTGGGTCTAGAACATCTTGACACTGAAACAGAACTGTCTTGATCTAGATACTGTCTTGAGTTCTTTTGAAGCTCTGAAAACAGGGGCCCACCCCTTTGCCAGTGGATCCACTTTCCCGGGCTGGCACTTCCTCAGGACACATTTCCTGAGTGTTTCCTGTCTACAGAGCCTATACTTGACACCAGAGGTTTTGAGGTAACAGCTGGGCAAATAGGCTTGGAAAAGAGGAACTGTGTGGTCCATGACAGTCTATAGACAGTACTTCTCTGCCCAGCTGGGGAACCCATTGTGGTCCATTAAGTGGTTCCATTCCAACTGACTTCTTATCCCCTCTCTTCAATGCTTTGTTCCTCTCTTGAAATGCCTTTTTCCCTCTAGGCTGTGGCCTCAAGTCCTGCTGTGCCCTTAATCCTGAACCTGGGGGCAGTGTGGTGCCATGCTTTCCTCTGGTGACTACTCTTCCCTCGAGTAGATTTCCCCTGCCTCCTGCTTCCTGTCTTCCTATCTTTGTGTTCTGGTACCTCCTCAGGCCTGGCAGCTGCTCCAGGGAAGAAGTCAACTGGACTTTGGGTTTCCCTGGACTTAGGTTTTCTAGCTGACTGCCATGGTCAGGAGGATGGGGGTGGGAGGGGCATAGTCCTGGAGGAGAGGAAGAAAGGCTGGGCTAAGGAAGCAGGGGATAAGAGTGTAAGTGAAAAGATGCCATAGGGGTCGGGAGAACCTTGCCCAAATGCCCAGAAGAGGGCATGGGTTTGCCTTCCAGCAGATCTTAGTTCCATCCCCCAAGCAACTGTGTGTCTACTCCACGAAAGAGCTCAGGATGAAGCGGGGGAGTGTTGGACTTGTACCAGCTCTGGATCTGAACATGCACCTATGTATGTGTGAAGGAATACAAAGTGAGGATTGTCCCTGTTTCATCTATACCCCATCCTGACTTGGGTCTAGCATCATTTGGTACTTGAGTCCTGGAATGTTCTCCTGCTGGGGCCTGGTTCACAGAGGCTGGGACTGATATTGGCGGTGGGAAGACACATCCTATGGGCTCCGGCTAAGGAGCCAAGTAGACTGGGGTCTCAGCTGTCTCCTGAGTGTCCCACAGAAGTTTCCACACTTCCAACCTTGACAGTGCAGAGACCTTTTTGGTATCAGTGGGAAGTTCACTTTAGAAGGAACACATGGCCCGGAACAACTTTAATTTCTGCCAGCTCAGTGGTGGAGCAGTGGAGGGCGGCTTCGACCTCCACACTAAATTCTAAATTTCCATGCCTCAGTGTCTAGAGCTGGCTTGCCCTTGCAGTACCTTTGTTTTTTCTACTCTTTGAGAGGGGGGGGGTGCTGTTTTTTTTTTTTTTTTGGAGGTGGGGTCTCACATTGCCCAGGTTGGATTTGAACTTGCTTTCTAGCTGGGCTGCCTCTTGCTTCTACCTCCTACGTCCTCCTGAGAATACAGGCTTGGGTCATTGCACCCGGCTTTTGCTTCTCCTACTTTTGAACTTCTCGTGCAATTAACGATGCTGGAACCATAGCTTTGCTCCCTGGGACAGAGCTCCTCACTTCTCTTTTGGTTTCTTCCTCCACAGATATGGAGTGCTTTTGATCCCACAGCTCATACAGAGGCTGTGGCCACCCTCCTCCTGGGCCACCGGAATTCCCACCTTAGATAGACAGCTGGTAGAAAGGACAGAGGGAACAGGCAGACTCAGGTAGGTATTCGTGTTTATTGTGGGCTGGCAACAGCAAGGCTCTGCAGGCGGCATCATTCCTCGTCATGCATTTTCTGCTGAAAAGGCAATAAGAGGCATGAGGGCGAGGGCAAGATGGTCTGGGGAGGAATCCCTAGAGATTTTAGTGGCTTTTAGAAGACACCCTTGGAAAGACAGGGGTATCTCAGGGTTAAACTGAAGTCTTAGGATAGGGTTGCTTGTGGTTTAGAATACAGACCTAGGGCTGCTGTGAGTGGGGGAGTGGATTCTCAGGTTTAGGTGTCTGTGGGACCCTCAGGTTTCCTTTTTCCCTGTACTCCACATATCTAAATGCATGCAGGATATACATGTAGCTGCTCAGAGCATCATGCTTGCAGGGACATCCTGGTGAGAGCATGACTAGAAATCTCAGGGGAACCCACCTTGGCACCAATGTCACGGCTCTTGGCCCGCAGCTTGTTGACCTGGGACTCAGCGATGTCTGCCCTCTCCTCTGCCTCATCCAGTTCGTGCTGCACCTTGCGGAACTTGGACAGGTTGGTGTTGGCCTGCTCCTCCTGTGCGCAGATAAAGGGGATGGGAGGATGGGGTGAGAAGAACCGTGGATTCCCAGATTCTCATGGTCCCTGTTCCTGAGCCGCTCCTCACCCAGCTCCTGCAACAACCCTCCCAGGAATGTCCTGTCTTGTACCCTCCTCAAACTGGTTTTGTGCTTAACATCCTTCACGGCCACCTACTGCCTGCAATGAACCAACCCATGCTGCCTGGCGTACCTGCTCAGAATCCAGATTCACTACATCTATTCCAGTTGTGCCTCAGATAGATGCCTGCAGACTTGGGGGATTTCTTCACGGCAGGGCTCATCCACACAGCACCCACCATTTCTGTCCAGCCAGATCTCTTCTCTTTTGCTCTGTGTCTAATTGGTTCCCTTCCAGTCCCAGTTCCAACTCATGGCCCTCTCCTGTCCTCAGCGGCACCTGCCCCTGTTCTGTCCCTACTCCTCACTTGGCCTGACATATGTGGGCTCTAAGCAACGAGTGGACAGACACAGGGCTCATACAGCACTGGGTTTTGAACTTGGGGTACCAGATACAGCTCTGATTATACTAGACATGCAGGATAAAAGGCCCCACCGTGGCAGATACTGGCTCTCACTAGTAGGTGTGTTGATAAAAGAGGGAGAGAAAACTATCAACTCACCGCCTCCTCAGCCTGGCGCTTGTACGCCTTCACCTTCAGCTGCAGCTTGTCCACCAGGTCCTGCAGCCGCATCAGGTTCTTCTTGTCCTCCTCTGTCTGAAGGTGGATGGGAGGGAAAAGCCAGTTTTGGGAGAGAGGAGCAAGTGCAATCATCATTTCCTCCTCCCTCGTTCTCTTCTGCTCCCCAGGCCTCAGCTGCTTCTCCCTCCAGTGGCTGTCAAGGGGTGCTGTCTCTCTTTGTACATCAAAGAGAATTTTAGTCGGGGACCCACAAATTAATGAGTGTTGGGGTACTGTGAGTGGGCGGAGGTTCTGAGGTTCTCAGAGCCACAGGGAACTTCTTAATGTGGACATATGCAGGGACAGGGTCTGCTGGCCTCCATCTGGTGAATGAAGGGCCCTTTGCAGCAACACGGGCACTTTCGGCCAGTGGTTCTAAGGTGACCAGAAGAGGAGTGGTAAAGAAAGCAAAAGAAAAGCTGGTATCATCGTTGTCTAGATTATTCTAATTAACAAGCCAGAATGTGGGCAGCAAGGCCAGTGGCTCTGATGACCTTAGATAGTCCTGTCTCCATGTCATTTGATGCTCTAGGATACCACTGCACATTTGTCCCTGTGCCTCTGTATCCACTCTTTAAATGGACCAATTTACCCATCTCCTTAACATTCTCCTCCCAGAAATTGAGACTAGCAAGTCACTGGCCAATGTCAGCTGTACAATTGGAGTTCTCAGACACTCTGAGAGGGTGCTCTAAGACCTTGGCTTCCTTTAGCTGTCCCAGTAGTTCCACAGGGGATCTGTTTTCTCCCATGAACTGACTCTTGTTTCTAAAGTGCCATGTGGCATTTCTTTGTGTCTGGCTGGCAGAGGGTAGAACAATTTTCTGGACTATTGTGAAACATTTATTGTAGTGCTTTGAAATACCAAAAAAAAAAAAAAAAACCCTGAGAAATGTTAAGTGAAATAGTTTTGGAAAAATAGGAGTCTCTATTCACACAAAAATCCCTGGGCTCAAGCTGAACTGCCTCCAGAAACCGTCAGAGAAACTGCAGAGAGCACCTAGAGGTGCGGGTGAGAAGTGGTGCCTAGCCTTAGTGAGGGATGGCACATCCCAGAAGGACCCTGTCTGAGCCCAGAAGTGGGCTAGGAAAGCCATTGCTGTCCTGACATGTTCTCCCAACCTGGTAGGTGAGCTCCTTGATGCGCCGCTCGCTCTTCCTCATGCCCTTCACTGACTCTGCATTGCGCTTCTGCTCAGCCTCCAGTTCGTTCTCCAGCTCCCGGACCCGGGCCTCCAGCTTCTGCAGCTGCTTCTTGCCACCCTTGAGAGCGATCTGCTCGGCTTCGTCCAGCCGGTGCTGCAGGTCCTTGATGGTCTGCTCCATGTTCTTCTTCATGCGCTCCAGGTGGG